TGTTAGCAGCGGCAGCAGCAGTAATAGCAGCGGTAATGGTGGTTTGGGTAGCGAATACGGCAACCACTTGCCGTTTCTGGACGACCCTTTGGCGGATCCGGTTATGAGCCCCAGCGGGAGGAGCGATTCGCTGGTTTTCCCTTACGGTGAGGACGCCCAGTCCCCGCACCCGCACCCGTTTCACCGGCGGAGCTGCTCGGTGAACGACGCTGCGTTTCTGGCGAATCTCGAGGAAGGGGGCGGCGCCGCCGGTGGGTGGAGGCCCTGCATGTACTTCGCTCGGGGTTTCTGCAAAAATGGTGGGCTGTGTAAATTCTCGCACGGCGAATTTGGGGAAGCGGTTGAGGTGGGTTCTCCGAGCAAGGGCTTCTCTGGGTTTGACGAGCTCTTGAGGATAAAAGCCCTCCAGCAGCAGAGGTTCGCCGCCATGGCCGCCGCAAGAGGTCACCATCCTCTTGGGTACAGCAAGTGCATGGACTTGATGAATGAGAATCCGAGGTGAATTTATGTTTTATTTTTTTTCCTGCTATGTGCTGTGTTGATTTGCTTGTTTCTATTATCTGTAATTCTGTTTTTGCCCCTTTTTTTTTTGCCTTTTTATCCTTTTTTACTTAAAAGGATTATAAGTTATCTCATCTGTAATTGACTTTTGCTATGAGATTCAACTCTGAAAAGATTGCATCTTTAGCAAATTTTAACAATTTTGGTTGGATTTACTTATTTAGATTTTCAATTATGATGTGTATGTATATGGTTGGAAGAAGTCTTATGTGATAATATAGTGAGATCTTAGTGTGTTGTCAGATTGCATGTGAATAAATTTATGATGGACGATAGATAACATAAATTTTAATAACTGCAGATTTGATAGAAATGAATTCTTTCAAATGTTGGCTGGTGGTGCGAATTCGAGCTCCCGGCAAATCTACTTGACATTTCCAGCTGACAGCACATTCAAGGAAGAAGATGTTTCTAATTACTTCAGGTAAGGTTAATGTTGATTCAGGAGTTGGTTCTAACCTTCATTTCGAAGGTCGAAACCCCTGTTGGCACTGATGATTGCTACCTTTTTATTGTCCTAAGTATGTTTGGACCAGTGCAAGATGTTAGGATTCCATATCAGCAGAAAAGAATGTTCGGGTTTGTGACATTTGTGTATGCGGAAACTGTTAAGCTCATTTTGGCCAAAGGCAATCCGCATTTCGTGTGCGATTCTCGTGTTCTTGTCAAACCTTACAAAGAGAAAGGAAAAATTCCTGAAAAGTATGTCTCGCTCTTTATTTTTTACATTTTTTTTTTTTTGAAATTTTTCTTTAACTTTTGTAGTGCTAGTTATAAATCATTTGGTTGTATATAGGAAACACCATCAACACTTGGAGAGTGGGGATTATTCGGCTTGTTTAAGCCCTTCTGCACTTGACTCTAGAGATCACATGGATCTTCCCTTTGGTATGTTTGCCTTTATGCCGTGTTTAAATGCCAAAGTATTGATGAACTTGTCGATTAAAGTTCATCTGCTTGTTCTATATTGTATTTGTTTTTTTTTTTTTCGGTTCAGGATCTAGAATGTTGTTTAATGCACAAGAAATGATATTGAGGAGGAAATTGGAGCAAGAGGCTGAATTACAGCACGCCATTGAACTCCAAGGTCGGAGGATGATGAGCTTACAACTTATGGACTTGAAAAATTCGCACAACAATAATCACTTCCTCCCGGGCATTAGGGGTTCGGGTGTCCCGATTTCCTCACCTAGACAGGCTCGACTCTTTATGAATCAAAACTTCAACCATTCGTCTGATGAGGCTAAACTTGAAAAATCTGAAGGTTAGTTTGAGGAAAGCTTATAATAATTCAAATGATGTTATGTACCATAAAATCATTCGTCTAATTGCATTTTCTTTTCTTGGAGTTGTGCAGATTTTGATGGTAGCCAGGAGGCAGTCAAATCGCTTCCTATAGAAACCGATCACAATTTGTTGCGTGAAGTAACTGAATCTCTGAGTAATAAACAGCAGCAGCAGCAGCAGTGTTCGAACAATGACGACTCCATTTACCCTGAAAGGTAGGTTTAAAATTTAGGCACACATAATTATTTTGGTGGAGATGCAAGTCAATTTCATTGCTGAAAAATAAAACCCCACTGAATGTGATAATGAATGTTTCTTTTCTACGAAAAAAAAAAAGAAAAAACAGCTTGGAGCATGTTCTTCCGGATAATCTTTTTGCTTCGCCGACTAAATTAGCAGCAGAGCACAACTCAGTATTCTCCCAAGCTTCAGCTTCTACTGCTGATAACATACCTGTAACCATATCAGCATCTAACAACATAGCTTCTCTCAAGTCTTGTTATCTTCAAATGCCAAGGTATTGTTATCTATATATTCAACCTTTTTTTTTGGTTTTCGTATCGTTGCTAAAAATTAATGAACTTTGAAGTTTAGCTGACATATGGGTGGTCTTCTGGGCAAGAAGCCATTGACATGTAGGTGTTACACTGCTGATTAAGGCGTGACAAGCAGGAATTAACTTAGCTTGGTAAGACCATTAATCTTATATACAATGGGAGTTAATACGAAAACCCAGAGAAGTTTCAATTGCCAAAGAATGAAGAAAATAGTAGAGGAGCTCTAATATGATCTCTCCTTACAATTTTCCCTTCATCAGAATATCAGCATGAACATTGTCATTAGGCCATAAAAGAGTTAGGCATGATCTCGTATCACGGGTTCTTTTGGGCATGATTGTTTATCATCCCTACAGTAATTTTTTTTACTCAAATTCAAATTTAACTCAACTTTAACTCAACCCCACTATCTCCAATATTATTATATAATTAAATAACATCAACAAATCATTATTACATATCACATCAACTTTAATTCACTATTCATCCACTCACATAATTCTAACTAATTTTAACTAACTATCACTTCCAATCATTTTTCTCCTACTTTACATCAAATCAACTTTAACTATTTTATTTTAAATACTATTTTAATCTATCAACTAATAACTAACCATACAACTTTTTCTTAAACTTAACCATAATTAAAAAATTCTAGTTTTTTTACTATTCAAACCATAAACAATCACCCCCTTTACGTAATTTCGAATAACTTCTCGGGTTTTCATGTAATCATACAAAAACATGGGTTCACTTTTAAATTATGTCAAAATACAGGCTTTTCTTCTTCTTCTTCTTATTATTATTATTATTAATTTTTTTTTTTTTTTTATAATAAAGTTTTGCCTCTTTTTTTCATGTTGGTTGGTGCAGAAAAGAAAGTTTAGCAGCAGCACATATACAAGAAAAGTATAAAGAAGAGAAAGTGGTCTGTCCTAGTAGCTGTATAGCCAAAACCATACCAACAGAAAGAAAGAAAAAGGATCTCTGTGTAAGGAAAAAGCTCATCAAAATTATTATTATTATAGTGTCATCACCACTCACTCACCAGATACTATACAAATTAGTTCTACTTTACATCATTATACACTGCATGGCCAAAAGGACAGATGTCATTATTTATGGGAGTGGGTCCCTCTCTCTCCCTCTCTCTCTCTCTCTATCTCTCTCTTGTTTTCTCAGTTTGTACCTCATATGTGGTTGTGGTGAGAGGGACAACACAGTGGATCAAAAGCATATAAAAAACAAAGTCTAGCAGTGACTCTTTACTTACTATCATAAAAATGCAAATTTACCTTTCTTTTTTTTTATTTTTAACCTAATATGTTGGGTAAATTTGTTTGTAAAGCTGTTTTTTTCAATAAATTATTGAAAGTGAAGTTCCACTGTGCATCATTTTAATGTAAAAAACTCATTTGAATCATTTTTCAGACAGTAATAATTATAGATAAGTAAATACACAGTAATAATTATAAATAAGTTTTTTTTTATGCTTTTTATTAAAGTTTTTTGTTTTTTGTTTTTTGGGGAGACTCTTTTGTCTCAATTTGTGAGTTTTTATTTTTTATTTTTTTTAATTTGTGTAAGGTGTGGTGAGGTCCACAGAGTCACATGGGGCTACTGACAGTATTTTTGAATGGGTAATAATAAATAATGATATAAATAAATAAATAAATAAAAAAGGTCCTTTCACTATCAGACCACAAACTCACATGGGTGCTGACACATGTGTGTTATTGTATAGTTTCTTATTTTTTATTTTTTAATTTTCTTTAATTTTTTTTATTTTTTTTATTTTTATTTTTATTATTATTATTATTATTATTTTTTGTATAGGTTGTGCTGCCTTTCCCCTCTCTTGCTATGTTTTTTTTTCTCTTTTATTAAAATTATATGCAGCATTTATAATTTCACTTCAAATCTGAGCTTCATGTGCTGCATAATTATTCCACTTTATCTGATTTTCAAATCTTTCATCAAACATTATGGATAAATTTGGATAATTTGTACAGTGAAGTCTGACTTTCTAAAATTAAATACTCTCTTCGTCCATTAAGCTGTACTTTTAATTCTCATTTTTTGTTCACGAAATTTAACGTCGATTTGCTCAATGCAAACTCGCCGGCATTTTGAACTGAGAAAAATATTGACATTACAAAATGTATATTTGCAAACATGTTAGTCTTCTTTATTTGTTTATTAGGTGTGAGTTAGTTGATTTTGGTTTTATTTTGTTGTTTTGTTTCGTTTAGTGCAGCTTAGTCTACTTTTGTCTAGTGCAGTTGTGTCTGTTTTTCTCTCTTTTATGGAGTTTGTGTCTGTTTTTTTTGGAGTTTTTGCATTATGGTTGTTCGCCTCCTTGTTGGAGTTTGTAAGATAATGTCCGATTCTCCATTATCTCGGCGTCGTTTTACAAAGATTTTGAGACTAAAAATATTGATTAGTTGGATGATCGAGCTTTATCGAGCGTGGTGTCATGGTACTTACATTGGTGAATAATACTTACCATTTTTTATTTTATATATATATATATATTTATAATTTTATCAAGTTTTGTTTGCATAATAAAGTTTAATTTAATATATTTATATTCTTATCTTGGGAATTAATCAATTTTAGTATTTTTTTTTTTTTCGAAACGATAGATTTTATAACAACAAAAAAACACGATTACAACTAGACATCAGCTAGAATAAGCCCAACAGCTATCAAGCCGAATCTAGGAGGAGTACACACATGAGTGCATCCTGAACAAAGCCAACCTAAGACTCACAACAACTCCCACAAAAGAGAATAAAACTACTACACAGAAGACTCAAAGCTCCTACCGAGGAGACTAAAACATCTACAAAGAAGACTAAAACTTCTACAAAGAAGACTCAAAGCTCCAACAAGGAGAATAGAACTGACACCATACCAACCTAAAACAACACAACACAAAAGGAAAATACAATACTAGAATAAACCCTTCCTCCAACCGGCAACTAACTGCGAAGCCACAGAGACAACACCCAGGGATAAACGGCCACACGAATAGGAACCCAGCCCAAATATAGCACCAAAAACTCCGGAGGTGGCCAACCCGGCTAGTTGAAACCACACCTCGACCAAATTCTCTACACATGCGGACCACCCCGATCCAGCAACCGGAGGCAGCTTCTCCACTTCCCTCGCAACATCCAGGACTGCAACCACCAATACCTCCCAAAGCCCAGCAGCCCAACCCGATCCGACTTCCAAGCCCATGGAAGAACAGAAAACAGGGGAGAAGAAGACTAATCTCGACCCCGACGAACTCAAAGAGCCGCCTGGAGCCAGCCACCCGACGCCACGAGACCCGCCTGAAGCTCCCCGGACATAGTCGACCGACGCGGCGGCGAAGCACTACACCGGGGAGGGGCAGACGAGCTGTGGGCGATGAGCGACTCGGACTGGAGACGGCTGTCGCCGTGGCGTCGCGGAGAGCCCGGAAGGAAGGAGGCGACGGCGATCTGAAATTAGGTTTCAACTGTAATAGTTAACATAGTTAACAATTAGATTGTCTCGTAATAGAATATGAAAATGCTTAGTTAACAAAAGTAATCAATTTTAGTATTAATTAAAGTTGGTTTTATGTATTATTTATATAATAATAAAATTATTTAATACCATTGAAATCAATAAAATATACGGTGTGAAGCCCGATCGAACAACCTACGAATGGTTTGTCCGTTAGTTATGTATATAAAAACTTTCACCTCATCTATGCACCATCTATATTAATATTCATGTAGTACACTTGCATGTGCAAGGCACAAGAAGAAAATTGGTTCTATATATAATTTTTAATATATAGAATACTTGACTAACTTAAATGATTATATTCTTAACTTTTATTTGTCATCGATTTATATATATTATATTAATAATCATTTTTAACTATAGTTACCTAACATCTATGTGTATATATAAAATAAAATATAATTATATAAACGAATTGAATATAAAATAAAATTATCAATCCATCCTAATTTGGAAATAGTATAATCATTACCAATCAATTATTATGTAAAATCTGACATGTTATAACGTGGTATCATGTAATTATGAGTGTCAACTTTTAAAAATATAATTATTATTATTATTATTATTATTATTATTATTATTATTATTATTATTATTATTTAAAGATTTTTTTATGCATATTGTGTTTTAATTAATATCTATACTTATATATAAGATATCATATTTACCAAATTTAGTAGGTTGAAAAGTCAACGTAATTAATGCATTGCTATTTCTATACAAAATTTTATTTAGTTATTTTATTTATTTGTCTTATATCCTATAAAATCGGTTTAAGAAAAAAAATCCCATATCATCCGTTAAGTCAAAAAAAAGTTCGTAAAATCTTTACTAAAATAAAAAAGGCTTTATTTATTTGTCTTATTCCATAATAACATCGATTTAGTCAAAACAAATCCCATAAGATCGGTGAAGTCAAAAGTTGTACGTAAAGTCTATCTATACTAAAAAAAAGATAGATTCAAAATTCCTTATCCAATTCCTTATCTAATTTCTGTTTAAAGCATTTTATTTAATATTTACTTTTTTGAAATATTGAAAGGGTTAATTGCTAAATAAACCTTAACCTTTTTGCGTTTGGCAATTATATCCCAATCTTTAGGTAATTGCAATATAATCTCGACCTCAATTTACTTATTGCAAGTCAAACTTAATACCGATTGGAACTTCAAAAAATTGGTCGATTTGAAGGCGGTTCGAACAGATCGGAGCTCATATTTACCGATTCACTTCAGATCTAGGAGAAGACTCATCACCGATAGCTTACATTGACGTGGAATTTTCGGCTTTGTGCGTGGATATACATTAAATAAGTGGAAATTGTCAACTTGCTACGTGAATGGCATAAAAACCCGTGTCCATGGATGACTTGGGCACAAAATCAATCCACAAATCCCTAAAATCAATCACTCTGCACCCAAATTTGCAACAAGTAAATTAAGGTCGAGATTATATTGCAATTACCCAAAGATTGGGATAAAATTACCAAACGCAAAAAGGTTAAGGTTTATTTAGCAATTAACCCAACAAAAAGGCACGAGATTAATTACCTTCGACTTACAAAAAATTTATGGATGGATGTAAATATTAACAATGATGTTTCAAGTTCCTTAAATAATACTATAACTATGCTATTGAAATATAATCTGTTTTACGGGTGACGTAAATATACTGTTTAAAGTTCCCTAAAACAATTTTATAAAAACTATATTGTTTAAAGTTCCTTAAATATTAATATATTTAAAGTATACCCATGCTGTAGTATATTAAAGTCAAAACAATGTTTGAAGGCTTTTGAATTATCTAATTTCGAATTATTTAAAAATTAATAAAAATGTTTAATCACATTAAGTCTTCAATCCATAGAGTATTTTTACTAACCTCGTGAGCATGTTGTTTTGTTATTGTACTCAATTTATACACTATTTTACTAATAAATTATTTTATATCTATGTACAAGGAGGTCTTTAATAATATATGATTGTTTCTTTGTCGAATACTATTTTTTTTATAATTTTCCTGCGTATTATAAAACTTTTATTGAATATTGCATTTTATAATATAATATTCCCCAAATAAATATATCTCGTATCTCGCACAGGTTCCGTACTATATATATCATGTACATTTTTTTATTCATTTATATAATTATAAAGTTGAATAAATAATCTTAAAATTGTGCACCCGTGCATTACGTTCTGTACTAGTTCGTATATTATACGGATTAGTTAAACAATGCTTGTATAAGGTCACTTGGGAAATTAACTCCCTCCCTTCATTTATTTAATTTATGCATTTTGATAACCTTTTCCATTAATATTTGCTGCTCCTTTGACCTTGAAATGTAAATTTTGAGAATAAGACATCGTTATTTAGCCATTGCGTTGAGATTTGTAACAGTTAGATCATCATGTAACTGTCGGGTATAGTTGATTTAATAGTTGCGAACCCCGACAGATAGTTCGATAACGAGACCGTAACATCTCCCAAAATGTATTTATATACATATTCCAAAACATTAATAATGATGCCACCAATAAGTGCCATATAATCCAATAATTGCCACTAATCTGCTAAGCTTTGACACACCGTAACATCATTAGTACTATTAGTGTCGGTACCCAAAACTAGTAAAAAATGATTAATTTGTTCTTATGGATGATTGGTATATAACTGGTTAAATAGTTGTTGCATAAACTTTCAGCATTCAACTTGTCACTTTATTTTAAAAAAAATAAAATAAAATAAAATAAAATAATAATAATAATAATAATAATAATAATAATAATAATAATAATAATAATAATAATAATAATAATAATAATAACATGTCACTTTATTATTAGGGATTCGATTAATATCATATTTACTACTAGTAACATATTTTAACCTTGATCAAATAAAGGACATGCATG